CGCCGCGTGGAGGTTTTGTTCTGGACATGCCGGGTGTGTCCCACACACCCCAAACATGCTCAGCGCACCTGTGTTCTCTTTTCCAGGCGATTGGCTGTACTCTGAACTGCAGTTGCCCAAGTTTCAAACCAGGCAAAATCAACCACCGGCAGTGCGAGCAGTGCCGACACGGATGGGTGGCCCACGGTAACTTTATTTCCCTCTAAATAACTCTTACAGTTTTTCAGGAATGGATGGGATATCTAAGAACAGAGCAGAAAGCGAGCATACTTAAGTTACTGCTCTGTGCCGGGCAACCGCCTAAGTCACAGTGGTTCTCAACCTTCTGGCCCTTTAAATACAGTTCCTCATGTTGTGACCCAACCATAACATTATTTTCGTGGCTACTTCATCACTGTCATGTTGCTACTGTGATGAATCGTCATGTAAATATCTGATATGCAGGATGGGGGCGCGACCCACAGGTTGAGAACCGCTGGCCTAAGAGCTCTAGATATGTCATCTCTTTGATAACAACTCCACATGATTCGTGTTTTGTTAGCCCCATTCTAAAGGTGGGCACACTGGTGCCTCACTGCCATCCTTTTGAGATGATAGAACTGGTCTGTGCTGTCTAATGCAGTAGCCCTAGCCCAGATAAAATACAAAATGATCCATTTAATTTGAATTTCAGGTAAACAAAAAATAATTTCTTAGCCCGGCTGGTGTGCCTGAGTGGTTGAGCGTCGACCCCATAAACCAGGAGGTCAGGGTTGGATTCCCAGTCAGGGCACATGCCTGGGTTGCAGGCTCGATCCCTAGTTGGGGGCGTGCAGAAGGCAGCTGATTGATGATTCTCATCATTGATGTTCCTATCTCTCTCTCCCTCTCCCTTCCTCTCTGAGGTCAATCAGTCAATATTTTTCTTAGTCTAGGCATATCCACTTATTTGGTGTTTATATTCAGATGTAACTGGGCATCCTGTATTTATATTTGCCGAACCTGACCCTACACTAGCCATGGGTGGCTACCAAATTCTTGAAGCGTGACAAGTGTGACTGCAGAATTGAATTTCCAGTTTTCTTAAATGTTAATGAATTTATTTTTTGTTTTGTTTTGTTTCTGTTCATCCTCCCCCGAGGATATTTTTCCATTGATTTTTAGAGAGAGTGGAAGGGGAGGGAGAGACAAACATCGATGTGAGAGAGACACATCGATTGGTTGCCTTCCCCATGCCCTGGCCAGGGCCAGGGTCAAGCCTGCAACCAACGTATGTGCCCTTGACCGGAATCGAACCCAGGACCCTGCAGTCCTCAGGCTGATGCTCTATCCACTGAGCCAAACCGGCTAGGACTATTCTGGCATTATTAATTAATTATTGTGCTATTTTCCAACCGAACTGTAAACCTACTTTTGCTCCTCCCTGTATTGTCCAATTCAACAATGAGTCCCATTGTCAAATTTATTCTCAATACAAAGAGCAGCCATAGATTATCAAACCTGCACTACAAGCAGCATTCTTTCTATAGGTTTCTGGCAGAATGTCTTGCAGATAACATTCTGTGTAGGAAGCAATCGTGGCCTCATTCCATGATAGGCAAATTGCCAGGAAATACTAAATCAAGTGGCAATAGAGTCCCTAAAGAAAGTGGCTGCTGATTTATGATGATAGTTCCAACAATACCGTTGAACTTTTTACACATTGAAATTGAAGTGACCGCTGAGTTATGTTTCACATTCTATCAGAGAGCAGCCCGCCTGCCAGACTGTTTGCAGCTGGAATGCAGCAAAGCCCCATTATGTTCACTTCCAAAGTCTGGGAAAATGATTTCTTTTTCCCAAAATGCAAGTGCTTGTTAGCTTTTCTCATGCCTAGCACACGCCCTGAGTCTATGGTGGCCTTTTTCAACGTGGATTGTCGCCGTGGCTGGGTGAGAGTCAGGGTGGAACGGGGCAGAGATGGGGACAAGGGGGCCCAGGACAAGGGAGACTGACCAGCAGGGGCCCACCAGACCAAGGAGAATTTATCAGTTTCAGGAGAAAGGTCAGCAGACTGTTCTTCCAGATGCTGGCGCTGCCCGGAACCCTCAACAGTGAGTGTGTGTGTGTGTGTGTGTGTGTGTGTGTGTTCTTATATTTTGCTCCTGGATCTTTAACAAGATTACAGACCAATGTTCTCCAATAGAAGTTAGACAAGCCACATATGTAATTTTTCTAGTAGCCACATTAAAAAGGTAAAAATAAATTTGAAAATGATTTAAGAACCTAACTTATTTAATCTAATAAACCCAAAATATTAACTTTCCAACACAGAGAATATATAAATCTTACTAATAAGATAGGTCTTGGGAATCTGGAGTGTATTTTACACTCACTCACAGGATGTCTCCCTTCGGACTGGCCACACTTCTCAGGCTTAATACCCATGAGCCAGCACTGAGATGGGGCCCGCTGGGCAGCGAGGGACAATCACCCTCTCGGTTCTAACTCCGTCCACCCTGCTCCAGCCATTGTGCTTCCCTAAAGAGCCGCCGCTGTGTCTCCTGTCCCCTCCTGGGGATCAGCTATCGGCCGCCTGGCTCTACGTTTTTGGAGCCTGGATCATCTTCATCTTCGGGCATTTCAACCACATCACTGACCCCACCGCCAACCTCCTGGCCTGACCAGTTTTCAGGCCTCACTTCTCCTGGCCCTAAAGTCCATTCAGAGCTGGTCTCTCGAGTGGAGTGAAATGTAACATGCAACTAGGAGTCACTTGACAGCTGGCTACCTCGGAACCTATATCAGTCGCTGACTTTGACCACAGCCCAAAGCCGTAGGCATGCCACAGCCCAAGCATTTGGAGTCTTAGGAGAGCAGATCCCACCAGGACCTGTATATGCCTTGGACCAGAATCGAACCTGGGACCCTTCAGTCCCCAGGCCTACGCTCTATCCACTGAGCCAAACCAGCCAGGGAAAACCTCATCTGATTTTTACAGAGAGGAGGGGAGAGGAAGATAGAGTTAGAAACATCTGTGAGAGAGAAACATAGATCAGCTGCCTGCTGCATGCCCCCTACTGGGGATTAAGCCCACAACCAAGGTACATGCCCTTTACCACAATTGAACCCAGGACCCTTCAGTCCACCAACCGATGCTCTACCACTGAGCAAAATCAGTTAGACCCCATTCATTTTTTTAGAGAGAATGGAAGGAAGGGGGAGAAACAGAGAGAGAGAGACACATCGATTGGTTGCCTTCCCCATGCCCTGGCCAGGGCCAGGGTCAAGCCTGCAACCAACGTATGTGCCCTTGACCGGAATCGAACCTTGGACCCTTCAGTCCGTGGGCTGACATTCTATCCACTGAGCCAGACCGGCTAGGGCAGCCGTGGGCAAACTACGGCCCGCGGGCCGGATCTGGCCGTTTGAAATGAATAAAACTATTGGGAAAAAAAAGACCGTACCCTTTTATGTAATGATGTTTACTTTGAATTTATATTAGTTCACACAAACCCTCCATCCATGCTTTTGTTCCGGCCCTCCGGTCCAGTTTAAGAACCCGTTGTGGCCCTCGAGTCAAAAAGTTTGCCCACCCCTGGCCTAGGGCAATGTTAATGAATGTAAATCTAAATTTAAGTAGCCATATGGGGCCGATGTCTATCACATCAGACAACATAGGTTTCTGTGGTTTCTTTTTTATTATTTTTTAAATATTTTTTTATTGATTTCAGAGAGGAAGGGAGAGGGAGAGAGAGATAGAAACATTAGTGATGAGAGAGAATCATTCATCGGCTGCCTCCTGCAGGCCCCGTCCTGGGAATTGAGCTGCAACCCAGGCACATGCCCTTGACCGGAATCGAACCCGGGACCCTTCAGTCAGCAGGCCGACGCTCTATCCACTGAGCTAAACCGGTGAGAGCTAGGTGTCGGTGGTTTTATTTGCCAAGTCTGTCAAGGGGGGGGGGGGGTGTCAGGCCCGGGTCTGCTGGACTCCCAAACCCAGGCTCTCACCTGGTGCTTCCCAATTTCCATCCTCTGGTTTAGGCACCTGGGCCTTTGTTTTTACTACCACCACCCCCTTTTTTTGCACTCCCCCTACTTGCGGCTCTGTTCCTCCTCAGGGATGCCACAGGAAAGGGAGGAGAATCTCAGGCCAGTCCACGTTATAAGTGCCTGTGAAAGCTATTAAGATAATTCATTATTTGTATAGTCTTTTTTTTTTTTCGCTGTTGGAACAGATTGCCGAGAGTTGGCACCAACCTACTTCCTATGCAGTGTCTCTCTTGAGAGTAGGATCCTTAAAAACGTCATTTCTGCCCTGGCTGGTTTGGCTTAGGGCAGTGGTCGCCAAACTGCGGGCAAACCGCA